ATCAGGCAAACCAAATCCTCCTCTAATTCTGGCATCTTGTAAAAGTTTTAACTTTATTCTCGCTTTCTTACCTTGCCATATGTACTTCAATACAATTTTATTTAACTCTTCAAAATAGTCTTTTCCAAGCCTGATTGGTATTGTTTGAAACAAGTATAAGATTCTGGGTAGGATATTCATCTTGATTGTTGAGATTCTCCCTATTAGTGATAGTTGTATTTTCCCATTTCTTCAAGTCTAACGCTATCTGTTGTTTAAGTGTAATATAATTGTCCTCTTTTAATGTACTGCATCTTGGTGTCAAGTATATCCCCAAATACTTGACCTTGTTGGTGACTTGAATTTTCAATAGGTCTGCCAGTTCTTCTCTTTGTCTTAGTAACATATTCTTTGTCAAAATCTTTGTTTTATCTTTATTTATTTTCAAACCAGCCACCTCACCATATTTCTCTATCTTTTCCAATAATTTTGGGGCTGTTTCTAAAGGGTCTTCCAAAATAAAGGCCAGGTCATCCACAAAGACTTGCAATTTAAATTCTTCCTTTTTAATTTTCATTCCTTTTATGCTTTTATCATCTCTAATATTTCTACTCAACAATTCCAAAGTCAATACAAATAGCAAAGGTGATAGAAGGCATCCTTGTCTTGTACCTTTTTGTTATATTAATAGAATCTGTGAATTCTCCCTCTATCATTACCTTTGCCGTTTGCTTATGGTATATGGCTTCTATTGCTTGGATAAAATTTCTGGCAAAACCCATCTGTTCCAATAATAGTAACATAAATCTCCAATTCACATTATCAAATGCCTTTTGGGCATCTAAGAATATCAAAGCCATTTGTTTTTCGGGATGTGCCTCATAATATTCCAAAGTGTCCAGGATTACTCTCATATTGTCTTTGATTTGTCTCTTTGGCAGAAATCCATTTTGATCTGGATGAATAAAGTTATTTAAGTATTTTTTAAGTCTTTCTGCCAAAATTGAAGCAAAGATTTTATAGTCTGCATTTAGTAAAGAAATAGGTCTATAATTCTTAATTTGCAATGGATCAGCCTCTTCTTTTGGAATAAGTGTAATATAAGCTTCTGACCGTGTTTTAGGTGTGATCTTCTTTAACATAACTTCATTCATGACTTCTAGCAGTGGAATGCTCAATGATTCTTGTAGTGTTTTATAAAATTCTGCCGGAAGCCCATCTGGACCTGGTGCTTTCCCACTATTTTGCTTCTTAAGTGCTTCAGTTAATTCCATCATTGTTATATTACTTTCTAACATTTTTTCAGTCTCTTTAAGTATCTTAGGTAGATTAGCATTCTGTAGATACTGTTTGACTTTTTCCTCATCAATATTCTCTTGCTTATATAGTTGCCCATAAAAATCTTGAATAATTTCCTTTTTCTCTTTATTACCATAGCAAACCTGGCCTTGATCATCTATTAATCTAGTATATCTTAATGTTATCCATTCCTTAACCCACATCAAATTTGTAGCTTGGTAATACAACTCCCAATTAGGCAAACCAAATCCTCGTCTTATTCTGGCATCTTGCAAAAGTTTTAACTTTATTCTCGCTTTCTTACCTTGCCATATATATTTCAATACAATTTTATTTAAATCTTCAAAGTAATCTTTTCCTAGCATAATTGGAATTGTTTGGAACAAATATAAAATTCTGGACAATATATTCATCTTGATTGTTGATATTCTTCCTATTAATGACAGTTGTAAATTTTCCCATTTTGCCAAATCTAGCGCTATCTGCTGCTTAAGTTTAATATAATTATTCTCTTTTAATGTACTGCATCTTGCTGTCAAATGTATCCCCGAGTACTTAATCTTATTCGTGACCTGAATTTTCAATAGATCTGCCAGTTCTTCCTTTTGTCTTGATAACATATTCTTTGTCAAGATCTTTGTCTTATCTTTATTTATTTTCAAACCAGCCACTTTTCCATATGCCTCTATCTTTTCTATCAATTTTAATGCTGTTTCTAGTGGATCTTCTAAAATGAAAACCAGATCATCTGCGAATGTTTACAACTTAAATTCTTCCTTTTTAATTTTCATCCCTTTTATATCCTTTTCTTCTCTAATATTTCTGTTTAGCACTTCCAGGCTTAACACAAACAGAAGAGGTGACAGAGGCCACCCTTGTCTTGTTCCTTTTTTTATATCAGTAGAGTCTGTCAGTTCTCCCTCTATCATTATCTTTGCCATTTGCTTATGATATATAGCTTCTACTGCTTGAATAAATTTTTTAGCAAAGCCCATCTTTTCCAGCTGTAATAACATGAATCGCCAATTCACATTATCAAATGCCTTCTGTGCAAATAGGTCTATAGTTCTTGATTTATAATGAATTGGCCTCCTCTTTTGGGACAAGTGTAAGATAAGCTTCTGACCATGATTTAGGTATCTTCTTCTTTAACATAACTTCATTCATAACTTCTAGCAATGGAAGGTTCAATGATTCTTGTAATGTTTTATAAAATTCTGCTGGAAGTCCATCTGGGCCTGGTGCCTTTCCATTATTTTGCTTCTTGAGTGCTTCAGTTAACTCCATCATTGTTATATTGGTTTCTAACATTGTTTCAATCTCTTTAGGTATCTGGGGTAAATTGGCATTCTGTAAATACTGTTTAACTCTTTCCTCATCAATATTCTCTTGTGTGTCTAGTTTCCCATAATAGTCTCGTATGATTTCCTTCTTCTCTTTACTACCATAGCAAACTTGGCCTTGGTCATCTATTAATTGCAATATTTTCCTTGATTCTTTCTCCTGCAGGGGCAGACTCCTGCACTGCTTATGGTTAGAAAATAGTTCTCTCTGGCTTTTCCGTGTTTCCAATATTCTTGATTCTATAGATGAAGTTCTTGATGTTCCAGGCCAAATTACAGTTGAATCTCATCTAAGAAGTTAGTAGAACCACAGGAGGAAATTCAGAAACATATTGGATTGGATTGGATTGGATTGGATTGGATTGGATAGGATAGGATAGGATAGGATAGGATAGGATAGGATAGGATAGACAGAGAAAGAGAGAGAGAGAATGGACAGATAGAAATGAAAGGAGGAAAGAAGGAAAGGGAAGGAGGAAGGAAAGGAAGAAAGGAGGAGGAAAGGAAGGGAAAGGAAAGGAGGAAAGGAAGGGAAAGGAAAGGAGAAAAGGAAAGGAGGAAGGGAAAGAAAAGGAGGAAAGGAAGGAAAGGAAAGGAAAGGAAAGAAAAGGAAAGGAAAGGAAAAGAAAGGAAAGGAAAGGAAAGGAAAGGAAAGGAAAGGAAAGGAAAGGAAAGGAAAGGAAAGGAAAGGAAAGGAAACCCTTATGGGTTTCAATCACCGACCACCACTGGCCCTTGTTTTGAAGGCAAACTCTACTGTTCCATGTGCAAAACCTAGACACCTGGATAATTGGCATCTATTCCTGAATTCTTTGGGCAGCCCCTCAAATATTGGAAGACTGCTATCATATCACCCTTGGTCCTTCTTTTTATTAAACTAAACATATCCAATTCAGGAACTGTTCTTTATATGTTTTAGCCTCCAGTCCCCTAATAATCTTTGTTGCTGTTCTCTGTATCATTTTTAGAGTCTCAACATCTTTTTTATATCGTGGAGACCAAAACTGGATGCAGTATTCTAAGTGTGGTCTTACCAAGGCATTATAAACTGATAGTAACACTTCATGTGATCTTGATTTTATCCCTCTGTTAATGCAGCCAAGGATTGCATTGGCTTTTCTGGCAGCTGCAGCACACGGCTGGCTCAAATTTAAGTGATTATTCACTAGGACTCCAAGATTCCTCTCACAGTTACTGCTATTGAGCCAGGTACCCACCCACCCCCATTACACCTGTGCATTTGTTTTTTCTGGACTAAATGTAGAACCTGACTTTTTTCACCGCTGAAGTTCATTGAAGCTAGCACCCAATGTTCAAGTCTGTCAAGGTCCTTCTGAATCTTAAATCTATTTTCTGGAGCATTGGCTATTCCTAACAGCTTGGTGTTGTCTGCAAATTTGATGAGTTCCCCATCTATCCCCTCATCCACATCATTGATGAAGATGTTGAAGTGTACAGAGCCTAAGAAAGAGCCCCACTGCATTCCTCCCTCCACATAGGTGTAGTTCCATTGAGCTTGGAGAGACAAAAGGTCTGAGAATTAAAAGATTTACTGATATATTGCAATAGTCTGGAAGGGAGGACACAAGGGTCTTCTGGTTTGGAGACGGAGTCAACAGGTGTACCACCAAATGATGATTAAAATGAGCCAGGAGGAAAATGGAGGATTTGCAGTTTGTTTGGGTTTTTTTGTTTTGTTTTTTGGTAATTTGTTTTATTTTTTAACAAGAAACATAAACAAACATAAACACAAAACATAAAACCTTCTTTCCATTGTACAGTGTGTCGGTGGGTATAAATCTTCTTGTGCACAATATTAACAGTCCTTCCCTTTTAACATTATTAAAATTTATTTTACATGAATATGCATATTATATTATATTGTTATTAATTATTTATTGGACTTTACTTATAATCATCCTTTTGAGCAAATTTCAGTTTCTAAGCTATCTCAATTCATAATATCATTCATTCCATTATAATTCATTATAACATATTATCACCAAATGATGACTAAAGTGAGTCAGGAGGAAAATGGAGGCTTTGCAGTTTGTGAAGCGTTATCTGATGTTCCAACCTTAAAAAAATATATATCTAGTGGGTTAGTGGCAAAAGGTACTCTCTGGAACACAGCCATGATTGTTTTGGAACTGTGCCAATTTTTTTTTAAACCAGGAACCAAGTGAATGAATGCCACATCTTTGTTCATCACTTATTCCTGTAGGTTCTCTGAGAGAGAGACAATGTGGACAGTATAATAATTTTGCACAGTGCATGATGTTTGTTTTGCATGAGTAAAGATAAGTAAACATCTCTCTTAAGCTCTTTTGTCTTTGGAAATCCAACAAGATTAATTTTAAGCTGAGGTCTTAAGCAGACCTGAGGGGGAAGAAGGAATTTAACTACTGTATCTGTACATTTCAGTCAACTTGAAGTATTAAAATACCCACAATCAGCGTATATGTGGGGGATTTAATGGAATTTTAATTGATGGAGAGAACATATAATTCTGTGCATCTCAAATTCACTTGAAGCACTAGGATTGCTGTCCATGATGTTCAAACTTTGCCTTCATTTAACAGATATAGCTTTTGTCTTAAGCTCCCTCAAACCTGAAGGGGAAGAAAGAATTTAACTATCTGTACATTTAATCTGTGGATGGAAACACCAGGTGTTTCACAATAATAAAATAACATAGTTGGAAGGGGATTTTGGAGGACTTCTACTCCAAACCCCTGCCCAAGCATGAGGCCCTGTAATATTTTAGATAAATGGTTATCTAATCTCTTTTTACAAACTTCCAGCAATAGAGCACCCATAACTTAGGAAGAGAAGCCATCCCACTGATTAATTGTTCCAACTGTCAAGAAATTTCTCCTTAGTTCTAGGTTGGTTCTGTCCTTAATTAGTTTCCATCCATTGTTTCTTGTCCTGCTTTCTGGTCCTTTGGAGAATAGATTAACCCCATTTCCTTGTTGGAGCCCCTGACTGCTATCATGTCACCCCTAGTCCTTCTTTTCAGTAAACTAGACATACCTAGTTCCAGCAATCATTCTTCAGATGTTTTAGCCTCCAGTCCCCCTGATCATTCTTGTTGCTCTTCTTTCCAGAGTCTCAACATCTTTTTTTTTTTTTTTTGATTGTGGCAAATATATAAACTGGATGCAATATTCTAAGTGAGGTCTTATTAAGGCTTTATAAAGTCTTAATAATACTTCACATGATCTCGATTCTATCCCTCTGTTAATGCAGTCTAGGACTGTGTTGTTGTTTTTTGGCAGCTGTAGCACATGGCTACATAGGGAACTCTCCACCAGGACTCCAAGATCCCTCTCGCAGGTACTTCAGTGGAGCCAGGTTTCACCTAATCTGTATCTGTACATTTTATTTTTCCTGCCAGACTGTAAAACCTTGCTTTTTTTCACAATTGAATTTTATTTTGTTACATGGGTCCCAGAGTTCAAGTCTGTTGAAATTCATTTGGATCTTGAGCCTATCTTCTGGAATGCTGGCTATTCCTGCCAGCTTAGTGTCATCTACAAATTTGATTAGTTCCCCTTCTATTCCTTCATATAATTCCAGAGGTGGTATTTGGCCAGTTCAGACTAGTTTGGCGAAACGGTTAGAAACATTTTGAGTAATTTGGAGAACCACAAATATCACCTCTCGCTGGCCTTGCCCCCACCTACCCAATCGCCACTTGGCCCGTCCATGTTGCCCACTGTCCCCACCCCGCAAAGTCACCTCCCCGGCATAGCATACCATGTGGCTCCTTGCATTGATTAAACAGTCTCTGCTCTGTGGCTTGCCTGCCTTCCATCTGAGCCCCTCTGATCTGCCTGCCTTGGTAAGTAAGCCTGCAAGTCGCACTAGTCCCTCTGTCTCCAGCCTCCAGATTGCCTGGCTTGCTTCACCACTGCAGTTCCATACAGGCTGTGGCACTCATGGCCTAGCAAGCTGCTCCCCCCCCCCACCGTCCCTGCTTCCCCAGCCTCCAACTTGCTTGCCTTGCTTTGCTGCAACACTGCATCCCATGCAGCACAGGGAAACTGCATGGCCGCACTGGCTGGGAGAACGCTCTCCACCTGGCTGGGAAGCCACATGGCTTTGCTGGCTAGGAGAACATATTCCCCAAGGATTTCTTTGCCTACTTGATTTCCAGCTCCTTCACACTTCTCACCATCATGTATAGGGAAACAAACATTTGTTGGGAGAGAGCTAAAAAAAAATAATCATTCAATCAATTCCAACTTCTCATGAAAGAGAAAGATCTCATAAAGTTTAATTTCATTTGCAGACTTTCTCTATTACATAGTTTAATTGATCTTAAAAGAGGAACTTCAACCATTGAATCAAGGCAAAATTTTCACACCTTAGACAGCAACCTATGAAAGTTACCGTTGTGCTCAAAATGAGGATGAGACGCAAATAATTGTATGATCTCTGCACCAACTAAAACTCTATTACATCCCCCACCTCACTGTTTCTCCCCTTGCCCTCTCCCTATGCATATTTTGATGCTTTGGGTTGACTGATTGAGCTAATAACCCTTGGCTAAAAACACTTGGTATAGCTCCAAATACAGTGGGGCTTAAGAGAGATGTGCACCTGTCTTTGCTTATGCAAGGCAACCATCGTACACCGTACAAAATTATCGTACTATTTGTATTGTTTTTATTAGCATGCCTCCAGGAATAAGCCATGAGCAGGGACGTGGCATTCTCTCATTTGGTTCCTCATTTAAAAAGTTCACAGTCGCAACACAACCATATTTATATTCCAAGTAGTATCTTTTCATGCAAAACAGCTGGGTATTTGGGGTTTTTTGGTTAATGTTAGATCCATCGTGCACTTTCTGTTCTTCAGGCAGGAGACCACTGATTCTGGATCCATAAATTTTTTTTCAGTCTTTCTCTATTTTCATCTTGAAAAGACTGCATGATGCAATGAGCTGTATAGAAACAAAAATCAGGACATCACAACAAAGAGGTTTTGTCTGAAGGAAAGCAGAATGAGATGTTCTGTTATAGACAAATGCTGCAAATCCCAAATAAGCAAGTGAGCTAATAGCAATAACAGTAGCACTTACATACCTCTTTGTTGTGGCTCTGGGCTTGGATTCAGCTCCTGTGATTGATATGAGTTCAAGTGAAGAGGTTATGGCAAAACAATATGAACCGGCCTGGCTTACTGATTGGACTGATAACCAGGATGAGGAGATGGACGTGACAAAGGACGACAGACCTGATGTATTAGAATTGTCAGGACCTTTGACCTCCTCTGGTTCCTTATCTGATCAACAGCCGGGAATGGCTGACAGGGAAGTTTTGAGAGAGTCTTCTAGTGAAGATGAGAACTTGGAAAATTTGTGGTTAAATGTAAAAAATAGAAGATGGTTGAAAAGGCAAAATCAGCTAGAGCGAATGAGAAGGGCAAGTCAGTAAATTAGCACGTTGCCTTAATGAGTATAAAAGGACACAGCTGGGCTGGTACATTTCGCCAGGAACAAAATAACTATTTGAGTGAAGACGTTACAGCAAAGAGCTCTGAGGCTGAAGATTTATTGCCAGGACTGGTTTGCCGGACAGAGTAAAGATTTATGCTGTGGTTTCTGCCAGCCGTTATCTTGTAAGGCTTCTTTCCGTTTGATTTAATTGTGAAACGGCTGCTTTCTGTTTTGTTCATTTGAATTTCGAAGGGGAGTCATAACATCTCTTTATAGTGCTTTACAATCCTCTCTAACTGGTTTACAGAGTCAGTCTCTGGCCCTCCAACGATTTGTGTCCTCATTTATCCACCTGGAAGGATGGAAGGCTGAGTCAACCTCACCAGCCTGGTGAGAGTAGTCCTTAATGGGTCTAAGTCTACATGGAGGGAAATAAGCAGTGGGGTGCCACAAGGTTCCATCTTAGGCCCAGTACTCTTCAATATCTTCATTAACGACTTAGGTGAGGGAATAGAAGGGGAACTTACCAAATTTGCAGATGATACTACGCTGGCAGGAATAGCTAACACCCAAGAAAATAGGCTCAAGATCCAGATGGATCTTGACAGACTAGAACACTGGGCCATATCTAATAAAATGAAATTCAATATAGAGAAAAGTATCCTATACTCCTAGGCAAGAAAAACCAAAAGTACACATATAGACTGGGTGAAACCAGGCTCAATAGCAGTAACTGTGAAGGGGATCTTGGAGTCTTAGTGGACAACCAGCTAAATATGAGCCAGCAGTGTGCAGCAGCCACCAAAAAAGCTAATGCAATCCTAAGTTGCATTAACAGAGGAATACAGTCAAGATCAAGGGAAGTACTAATACTACTTTATAAAGCCTTAGTAAAACCACACCTAGAGTACTGCATCCAGTTTTGGTCACCACATTATAAAAAAGATGTTGAGACTCTAGAAAAAGTACAGAGAAGAGCAACGAGGATGATTAGGGGACTGGAACCTAAAACATACAATGAACGGTTGCAAGAACTGGGTTTGCCTAGTCTAGTAAAGAGAAGGACCAGGGGAGACATGATGGTGATCTTCAAATATTTGAGGGGCTGCCACAGAGAGGAAGAGGTCAAGCTATTTTCTAAAGCTCCTGTAGGCCAGACAAGGAATAATGGATGGAAACTGAACAAGGAGAGATTTAACCTGGAAATAAGGAGAAACTTTCTGACAGTGAGAACAAGCAACCAATGGAACAGCTTGCCCTTGGAAGTTTTGGGAACACCATCACTTGAGATCTTCAAAAAGAGATTGGACTACCATTTGTCAGAAATGTTGTAGGGTCTTCCACTCAGGTGGGGGGTTGGACTACATGACCTACAAGTCTGATTATCTGTATCTATATCTGAGATTTGATCTGCAATGACCTGATTATGTTTCTAATGGTCAGTGTAGGTATCTCCAATGGGAAACTTGAGATTGCCCTGGAAATCACCTTTTGAATGTTCCTGAATGACAACAGCAGCAGCAACACAATATGTTTGTGTCATAAAACTTACTTCACATAGCTTATGCTCATATTGACCCACTGTTTCCCTAGTGAATCTTAGGGGTAGACTCCTGCACTACTTAGGGTTAGAAAATAGTTCTCTCTGGCTTCTCCATATTTCCAATATTCTTGATTCTGTAGATGAAGTTCTTGATATTTCAGGCCAAATTATAGTTGAATCTGTATCACCAAAGTGACCAGAAAAAAGCACAAGAGAGAGGGGGCCAAAAAGGATCCTCTTCCTCTCTATTTACAATAACTTTAAACTTTATTGTCTTTTTACTTAATTCTTGTCTAAAGAGAACATCTAAGTCATCCAATCTGTATTTATTTTAGGAAAACCTTTGACATTAATGAGTACTCAGTGCATAGTTAGTATAGGTTTCTTTATTGTCATTGCACCTCATACAATGAAGTTAAATGCCACCTTCAGTGTACATCTTACATAAGAAAAATAAAAAATAAAAAAACACATCCTTCACATTCTATACAATTGAATTGAATAAAAATGTTTCGTTCCTTGTTTGAAATGTAGGGGTGGTGTGTG